TTTTTTTTTTTTTTTTTTTTTTAAAAGCACAGAGCGTTTTGTCAGATGATGATTCTACAAAGCATACTTGGGAAACATTGCCATCACTAATTTCTAGCCACTAAGGTGTGCAGGTGTTTTTATAGTTATAACACTCATTTTTTTTAAAGATTTTATTTATTTATTTGACGGAGAGAGACACAGTGAGAGAGGGAACACAAGCAGGGGGAGTGGGAGAGGGAGAAGCAGGCTTGCCGCGGAGCAGGGAGCCCCACACAGGGCTCTATCCCAGGACCCCGGGATTGTGACCTGAGCCGAAGGCAGACGCTTAATGACTGAGCCACCCAGGCGCCCCACAACATTCTTCTTTTGAGGAAAAAAAAGTTAGCCCACTCTTAGGGTGTTTTCATAGTGAGATGGAGTAGACAGTAGCCGTTGGATAGCATAGAAAAATTGAGAAAGGAGAACAGAGGATATGGGGTCAACAGACCCTTCTTAGTGCTAGATTTACATATGGTTTTTAAAGTCCTGACAGCGATCCTGCGAGGGGGAAACTTCCTTTCACAGATCAGTAATCTGAAGCTCACCCAGGGGCTTACCCATGGGAGATCTTGAGTCCAATTATGGTCTGTCCGCTGCTGACCACATATTTCACTAACCATGATGACTTGTTATAGAAGTGGGTCTTTACTCTTAACTTTTCTTGTTTTAAATTATAAGTGGTTCTTACAAAAGTAATCCATGCTTATTAAAGAAAAACAGGTGGGAGAAACGTAGAAAATGCCCCGCATGCGGAAAAAAAGGGATTCATTGGTATTTTTGCATGTAAGGCTATCAAATTGTTGGACCAGATGGTTCTGAGGCTCGACATTTCTGTGATTCTCTGGGATATCTGTTAAGTTGCTGTGTGTTAGGTACATTTGAAAACCTTTCTCCACTGGATAGAATGGTAGGTGAGGCAAATTTGCCGCCTGATTTCAGTTATGTCAGGAAGCAGGTAAGCACGGAGGGAACCCCTGACCCCTACGGAGCCGTATCCAAAGCCCTTTTGCGTTACTTCTTAGGCAACGCGCCTTTGGAGAGGCTGTGATCCCATCCGTCCAGGGTGTCCTCGGCTGATCCTTCGGGGAGGATGAGCCGGGGAGCCCCGCGGTGCCACCCGCCCCGGGACGGGTCTCCGGGTCTGCGTCCTGCTGACGCGCACAGGGGCCGTGCGCCCCGCGGGGACTGGCGTGGAGCCCCCTGCTGACTGTGTCTCTTGCCTCCGCAGAAGGAAGACGGCCGGGGCGCCATGAGGTGAGTGCGCGCCGGCGCCCAGAGCCCCCGAGAGCGGTGTGCGGGCTGCGGGAGCGGCCCCGCGCGTCTGGCCACGCACGTCCCCGGCATGAGGCCGGGCAGCATGGGCGCGCCGCCGCGGGACCGCTGACCCCCGCCCGCCGGGACCATGAAGGAGGTGACATACTGGTCCCCCAAGAAGGTGGCAGACTGGCTGCTGGAGCACGCCATGCCCGAGTACTGTGAGCCCCTGGAGCACTTCACGGGCCGGGACCTGATCGGCCTGACCCGGGAGGACTTCGCACGGCCGCCCCTGTGCCGCGTGTCGGCCGACAGCGGGCAGCGGCTCCTGGACATGATCGAGACCCTGAAGGTGGAACAGCACATGGAGGCGCACAAGAACGGCCACGCCAATGGGCACCTGGGCGCAGGTGCGGCCGGCCCTGGCCCCGGCCCCACGGGCGGCTTTGGCCTGCAGGCCAAGCCCAACGGGGTGCCCAACGGCTACAGGAAGGAGATGATCAAGATCCCTATGCCGGAGCCCGAGCGCTCCCAGTACCCCATGGAGTGGGGCAAGACGTGCCTGGCCTTCCTGTACGCACTGTCCTGCTTCGTCCTCACCACAGTGATGATCTCGGTCGTCCACGAGCGAGTGCCTCCCAAGGAGGTGCAGCCCCCGCTGCCGGACACGTTCTTTGACCATTTTAACCGGGTGCAGTGGGCCTTTTCTATCTGTGAAATTAACGGCATGATCCTCGTAGGACTCTGGTTAATTCAGTGGCTGCTCTTAAAATACAAGTAAGTAAAGCAAAAACTCCCGACTCCGGAACGGGGGAGGAGGCGGGGGGCGGGGTCTGCCTTGCCCACGTCTAATAGTCGTTGTTTGGACGTGAACTTCATCAAGCAGTAGGAATGGGAGCATACCAGCTCCTTTTTTTAGTTTTACTTCATCATTTTATACCCCGTGCCCTGTTGAGCCAGCGAGAGCTTTGGTAGCTGTAAGAAAGTGCTGTGTTTATTGCCTGTTTTGTACAAGATTCGTACAGAGTGATGAATGGGCTTGTTGAGATGACGCTCTTCTGTTTTCACAGGGAAGAAAACCCTCAGAGAGCACAGGCTATTGAATCACAGATAAACTACCGAAACTCGGGGTCGTTAAGCCACCAAATAAATTGTCCCCAGTCGGCCTGCTGGCCGGGTGGCTTTTCCCACACAGAGTTCGACAGCGGGACCCTTAGCAGGCTGTATCTAGAGATGTTTCACACAGAATGCAGAACAGCGGTTCCAGAGTGCCTTGGGCTGTTGGGAGAATGACACCCTCAGGAAAGGACTTTGTTTGGGTGGATGGAATGTGGATGAACCCGCACGGCCTTCCACCTTCTAGAATGTGGGGCACTTAGAGAAACATGGTGATTGCATTCAGGTTTCCCAGGATTTTAAACGGGCACCTCCTTTTAGTTTCCGGTGGATCCAAAGTGGCTCTGGTGTCCCAAGCTCTAAATCCCATCAGACCCCCTCTGGCCACCTGGGTGCTTGGGTTGCCCGGTGCAGACTAAGCGCCCACGTTGCCATCCTCCTCAGGGTCTGGTTTTCCCGTTAGTGGACCATCTTTAGAGCTTCTGTGCATGGGAGCTGGGGACGGTTTCTGCCCAGTGGGCTGCATTGCACGACCCACAGTATGGTCGAACGTTAAGGAAATCCTCTTAAATCAAGAAAACGAGACGCAGCCTGAGAGTCTACGCCGAACTTTATCCACCGAACGATGAGTTTTTTCTTGGAGTGTGTTTTTACCTTGCGAATTCGATATCCACAAGTGGAAATGAGCACAGTGACTCTGTGCTGGGAAGGACTGTGTTAGTCTTTATAAAGGAAGTTGTTTTAAGTGGGCGGTGTTTCTTTTGGGGTTGGCTTGGCAGTTCCACAGGAAAGCCAAGTTTGAAATAGAAACCGTGGTCTGGGCTGCGTTGATTTGGTAGAAGACTTTTTGGTTCTTTGCTTACTTAGTTTTAACAGGCTAACCAGGTAGGGTAGACTTGAAATGTGAGATGCTCAGAATTTACTAATTACATCCTTTCAGCCGCCAAACTTCAGATCTGCTTTTGACTTTTAAACTTTTTATTCCCCCCCTCTAAAAGCCCGCTAGAAAAAAAATGCCAGAACAGTTTGCTTTACAAAGGCAGGGTCGATTCAAATTATGTTTCCTGGGTTTTTCCTGATTTTTGTTGTTTTGTGTATTACGAGTTTGTTTTCTGTTTCTGTTTTTTTTTTCATAAAAATTTGCGCATGCAAGCAAAATAATTTACTGCCCTAGAATAAAACATTATATATCAGTCATACTATGTGCAAGTTCAAATGTGTTACAGAACCGTGACTTTATTTTATTTTTTTAGAACGGTGATTTTTAAATAATGTTCTTGTTCTAGGAAGTGTCCTCACAATAGGGCTTATTTCTTTTAAGCACGTTGCTATTTATGTTTCTCTCAGCTGGGACTTCTCAAACCAGTTGCTCTTTAAAGCTTCATGATTTCCTGTTTTACTGGTACTTATTACCAGTGCTGTAGTCATTTGTGTATTGAAGTGACGAGGACGCAGTGAGCAGTGAATCCATTAATCCATACCTTGGGCAGAATTAAGCCAGTGCAGGGGTGCAGGGCTGCCTGGGTCCAGCCCCCGCCGTGCCCAGCATCCTGGCGGTGTGGGCCAGCCTCTTAAGTCTCAAGAGCTTTGTTTTTCTCACAGATAAAATAGGGGCCTCCTAGTCTAGATGGTTTCTATTATTCTATACAACTATGTTTTATTTGTTTCAAAGATGACCGAATGGACCAGTTATATTTAAAAAGTATTAAGACACAAGAGCAATTTTTGTCCAGTATACATCCAGCTCTAAAGAGTCTTTGAAGTCTTCTCTCTCGGGTTTCCCTGTTGGCGGGATAGGGCCTCGGGACCGGGAAGCCCGCTGTTGTCTTGATAACCCAGCCCCTGCCCTCCTCCTGGGGCACGTCCCTGGCTCCTCGTCTCCTTCCTGGGGAGGCCTCTCTTCAGGGGACGTGGTACAGCAGATGGGTAAGGTGTAGGAGGGGAGAGAAAGATTAACACCCAAGCAGCGGATGGAAATGAACTAACTCCTGGCCCTCATCAAGAAGATTAGAATGCTTTGTCGAGTCAGACCCCTTGTTTCCAGTTGTTTGGCTCTCATGGTGCAGCAGTTTGACGTGCTCAGCCTGTTAGGGAAGTGGATCCTTGTGGTTGTGGAATATTCTCTTGAACAGAGCTAACATCTCTCTCTTCCTGTGTGCGTCCCTCCTTGCGTGTTGTCCTCTCTCCCCAGCCTCCCCCGGGAGGTTCCCCCCTCGGGAGCACAGCTCACTCACTCCTAGGGGTTGAACCTGTTTGGCCAGTAATTCCCAAGGGGCATTTGACCTTGAGTCTCCGAACCCTTAAAGGAATCAGCCTATTCCTTCCTGCTTCTGTAGCTTCGACTTCTTAGAGAAGAATCAGAGGCTGAAACTGTGGAGGATGATTTATTAATTGAGAAATGTGATCACTAAAATTTGGGCAACATGCTCCAGTAACAAGCCCTTCAGCCAGATGTGTGAGGCACTGGGAAACCTTGCTGCTGAATTTGACCTTGAGACACAGTCTGTCCTTCTGTTGTGTATGGTTGTCCTTTACTGTTAAACATAAATTTGGGGTTTTTACTTACATTTTTTTTCCTCCTTTCCTTCTTAACGTGCCCCCCTCCTGTTTGTATGTACATACACGTATACACATACATTCACAGGGGATTTCCATGACATTGCAAGGTGGAAAGCAGCAATAAAGCCTGTCCTTGGGAACTTTCTGATTTTTTTTTTTTAAAGATTTTATTTATTTATTTGAGAGAGAGAGAATGAGAGATAGCACGAGAGGGAAGAGGGTCAGAGGGAGAAGCAGACTCCCTGCTGAGCAGGGAGCCCGATGCGGGACTCGATCCCAGGACTCCAGGATCATGACCTGAGCCGAAGGCAGTCGCTTAACCAACTGAGCCACCCAGGCGCCCAGGAACTTTCTGATTTTTAAAATTGTAAATAATGTTGTCTCCCCATTTAGAATTGGACTTGCAAACCACCGACTAGGAAAAATCCCTGGGGAGTCTCTGCCTTTGTGTCAGACTTCACTGCAAAACAGGTATCCCTTGTTTTCGGAAAGCATGATAAGGAATATGTTAACCTTAGAGGCTTGGTGAGGGCTCCTCATGCGTGGCTGAGGTGTAGCCCCCACGGTGCGTGACACGTGTGGCTGAGCTCTGTCAGGACATCGTGAGCCCCCGACAGAGAAGAAGGTCAGGGAAGAGGGTTGTGGAATTCCAAGTCCATCAGGGGTCCTCTAGCCACCAGAGAAAGCACTGTGACTTAGACCTGCGGTCACAGGTGCCACAAAGTCAACTTGTCCCCATCTGAGTCACCGGCTTCGTCCCCCTCGCATGCGGGCAGTGGCTCTTCCCAGAAACCTACCACGTCTCCTTTCCTTCCACACCGAGAGCCACTACGATCTGCCCTTCTAACTTTAGGTTCTTTACCTCTTTCCATTCCCGTGTAGCGACGGATGCTGGGTGCTCTGAGCGACGCCCTGTTCCTTAGCGTGGATTCAGGCTCCTTGGTAATCTAGCCCTGGTCTGTCCCCACCTCCTCTCTTAACTACTCGGCTCGTTTCCCGGGAACGCTCCAAGCTCGTGTCCCATGTCCCGGTGCTTTCGACTCATGGTGGGTGATCTCCCTCAGTGTTAGGGATTAAGTTCCTCCAGGGAAAAGACTCGATCCTGCGTGTCCTTCATCTTTCTGCCCCACCGCCTGGTACAGAGGCTGCCAGATAGAAAGTGCTCATTTAAAATTCATTTGTTCCTTCGCCTTGTCTTTACTGAGCAACCTACCAGGTGCCGGGCACCGTTCCCGACCCCGGGGTGCTGCAGTGAGTTCTCACGGAGCTTACATTCTGGCCACGGTGAGGCAGGCAGCCAGCGAATGAATGGATAATGCCAGCTGGTGTTCGGGGAAATGGAGAGAACTGGAGCAGTATTGGGGATCGTGGGGAAGGGGTGGTGTCTGATAGGGTGCCTTGAAAAGTCCTTTGAGAGGCGACCGTTGAGCGGGCACCATGAGCCCAGATGAGGGGGCGCCTCACACGTGTGTCGGGCAGGAGCCGTCCACACAGGGGACGCAGCAAGTGCAGAGGCTCCGAGGCTCCCCCGGGGCACAGCCAAGGGCGTGTGTGACCCACCGAGTGAGACGAGGCGGTGACACGGGAGGTCAGCAGGGTATGGGCGGCGGGCGCGCGCCAGGGCTGCGAGGGCCACGGATAGAGGGCTGGGATGCTGTTCCGAGGGTGGTGATGGGCCGTAGGGGAGAGCGACGGGAGCGGGTCTGTGCTGTGGAAGACCGCCCTGGCTGCACGGGCGAGCAAGGGTGGACGGGGGAGCCGGTCTGGACGCCATCGCCGTCGCCCGGATGGACGATGGCCGCGCCTTGACTTGATGTTTGAGCACGTCTCGTGTGGGGGCGGTGGGAAGGGATGGGCTCTTTCTAGAAGCCCTGGCTTCCGTTGAATTTGGGGTTCCTTGTGTTTTCTAGCCACAGGGCTAGCTTCCGTTGCAGAATTGCTTGTACCAAGGTTTTTGGGCCTCTCTGTGAATCCTTGAATTATATATGGCATTGAACGAGGAGATCGAATTCACTAATTTGGGAGCCTCCCCAACCTTGCTTGGATATATTTAATTTCAGAGCAAAGTCCAGTCACATGTCTATCCCAGCAGGTGTTTTCTG